ACTACCACCACCCCTCCTCATAACTTTTTGAAACCCCCCCCCGCCTATTGTAACGTACAACTACACGTGCGCTATTCCCCCCCCCCCCCCCCCCCCCCCCGGGCTCCCGCCGTGTCACTCCCTTGTTTCCCTCGATTGGTGGGCCGCGCGACGCTGTGAAAGCTTCGCGTGAGCTCCCTTCCAATTCAATCTCGAGATCTACGGGACCTATAGAGAGTACCACGGCCGCCCAATCCTTACTTCGACGGCGATTAGTAAAGAACGCTCACGACGACCCCCTACAGTCGCGCGTTTCCTTCCGGAAGGTATCAAGGGAGATCATACCTCTGAACGTGGAAGCCTCGACCGCGCATTATAAATACACGCATCACTTACCTAATATCGGTTTGATCGTAACGATGGCTACGAAATTGCAGTCCTTCTACACCTCGTCGACCTCGACGCACATCTCGTCCCATGCTCCGGCAGCGGTCGACGAGCTGTTCACGCAATACTCTTCCACCATGTCCTCCGTCAAGACCTCGGCGAGCCATCTGGCCTCCAAAAGCTCCCGTCGAAACATTCTGCAGCGATGCCTCGATCGCGTTTGTCTAGAATACTATCGCTACGAGGTGACCTTCGGACTATACGTGATGACCCCGGCCGAGAAGCTCGTGGCCAACACTTTCGTCATGGTCGTCTTCTCTCTCCTCTTTTGGGCTCTCCTTCTCTACTTCCCCTCCCTGCTGTACCAGAAGCTGAGTCGCCTGGTATGGCTCTTGACGGGACATAGCAGCTCCGAAATGGGCGCGGCTTTGGGCATCCTTGACACTCACGTCAGCTCCATGTCCGCACCGTTTCCGACAGAGCATGCGCTACCGTGAGCAATGCAGCGCATGGCATATATACCCCCGGTCCGCGGACTCGATTTTGCGTATTGTTATTCTTGGTTAATATCACGCCTCTAAAATTCCCGCGGGAATTCAATGACCTTTGCTGGTGATAGGTAAGCTTTTACTCCCGGGCCTTTTTGTTCTTCTTTCATGCAATGCCCGGTTCTAACTTCTTGCGCCCGGACTAGTTTTGCACTTTCACGCGGAGTTGGCACACGGCGTTTTTGGTTTTGCATTTTCTTGGAAGACAACTTACCTCTCCAAAATTAATGACTTGAATGGGACACAAGAGACACTCAGATTAATGCGAGAACGGGTACTGACAGGGTTCAACGACGTATAAAGGACCTATGAAAAGCCCGAGTGCTCCGGCCGGGATGAAGCCTTGGTGTTTGGGGTCTGGTGATCCTTTGCCCCATTAATATTATTATTACCTTTCTGATTATATAATTCGATGCTTTGGGCTGAAATTGGCACAGAGATCGGTCTGCTGTCTTTTTTTCTTTGTTTTTTTCGATTTTTCCTCGCCTGCTCCAACATTTTTATCGAGTGTTATTGTGTCCACCACCGTTGCCTGCGGTTCCGAAGTATAGGGCGGACTTACGCCGTGTGTGGCTTAGGGCGATGGGGAATGGAGATGCGATGGAGACGGAATACTGGATAGCCCACGTTCACCAATGCTTAATGTTAAAATCCTCGCAGCGATTGCGTGGGTGTTTCCCTCCCAACAGGCAGCTGCATACTGTACATAGTGTAGGCGGGTGGATTGGAAAGCCGTCTAGACGAGAGAATTCGAATGAAAAAGAGTGACAAGTCCAAGTGGGCGCAGTCGAAGCAGAAGAATAAATAAATAATAAATAAGCCAGTACCCGGCACCAGCCACAAAGCAAAAGCTGACGACGAGGATCGGCACCCAAAAATAGTTCCTCCCGCAAAAACGCCTGCCTAACGAACTTCCTCGCCGTCACCGCCAACAATCTCTTTCTTTCTTTCTTTCCACTCACTTTCCCCCCCGGTTGCCGACTTGGACCTCTTTGCAACTTGCATTCTTTTGTGGAAACTCTCTCGGGTGTCGCTACTGTCGTTTCGGATAATTATTCGGCATCCTTCCTCCCCCTCCGTCGTGTTTTCCCTCGTGTCCACCCGACCAGGGAGCTGCTCTGCGTCAGCCTCATCAGTGTCTTAACAAACGTGGCCGTGCCGCGTATTTAAGGCTCGATCGGATCATCGCTCGTTTTAAACGGAGTCAACCCGCACTGTGTCATACCCCCACACCGAAACAAGACCTTTCATTTTCCCCTTGTCACTTGGCGCCCTCTGAACGACATACGGAGTACAAAACCGCCCCCAGTTCCCTCTCTTCCTCCCTCTTCCTCCTCTCCCCCTGTGACCTCCTTTTTCACAACCTGCCCATCTATTTAAGATGGCAGCACACGGTTACTACGACACGGGCTACGGCAATCACCCGCCCACATACGACCAGGCCTTCCCTCCTACAGATTCGGCCAATCGCCGGTCTCCAGCTCCCAGCTACCCCGACCCCAGTGCTAATCCCTACATCTCCCCAAACGGCGCCGATCCGTACGACCTCCGTCATAGTCAACAATCACTAGGTTCGGACCAGGGGCCGTACGTTGGTGGTGGCCGATTAAACGATCACGATCAATATGCAGAGAATATTCCACTGAAATCGCAGAATCAATACCAGAACGCTCCTCCAACGGGAGATTGGATGCAACAACCGACACACTACCCCCCGCCCGAGATGATCGAACCGCCAGCTCCACGAGGAGGAGGCAGGAAGAAGAAGAAGGGGTTCTTTAAGAAGAAGATTCCTTGGGTCACGTATACGCTTACGCTAGTGATGATCGTGGTCTTTATCGTCGAGTTGGTCAAAAGCGGTACGTGGAAGAAGACAGGTATTCTGGAACGATGACACTAACGTCCTTGCGCAGCGCAATTAACGGGGTCGCCGATTCAAACCAAACCTCAAATCAACCCGATGATCGGACCGTCGGCCTATCTCCAAATCAGCATGGGTTCCCGGTACACGCCCTGTATGAAGAACGTGGATAAGGTGCAGAACGCGAATGAACAATTCAAGATGCCGTGCCCCAACACCACGACCAACGAACTGGATTGCTCCCTATCGGAATTGTGCAGCTTTAGCGGAGTCCCGAATCCGACGCCGCATGGATCGCTCGACGCCAATCCCGCCCCCAACCAGTGGTACCGATTTATTATCCCCATGTTCCTCCACAGCGGATTCGTGCATATCGGCTTCAACCTGCTCGTTCAAATGACCATGGGCGTGGACATGGAGAGAATGATCGGATGGTGGCGATATGGTCTCGTCTATATTGCTAGCGGTATTTGGGGGTTCGTGCTGGGCGGCAACTACTCGGCACCCTTTATGAGCGCTTGTGGTTGCTCGGGAGCTCTCTTCGGTATCCTTGCACTCTTCGTCCTGGACCTGCTTTACACCTGGAATGAGCGGCAATCCCCGTGGGTGGAGTTCATTATCATGATCCTCGGTGTGGGCATCTCGTTTGTTTTGGGTCTGTTGCCCGGACTGGACAACTTCTCCCACATTGGAGGTTTTATTATGGGACTGGCTCTCGGACTGTGCATCATGCGTTCTCCAAACGCACTCCGGGAGCGTATCGGACTCGCTCGCAACCCCTACGTCGCCATGAGCGGAGGTGCTGGCGCAGGACCGGAGCCGGAGAACAAGGTTACCAGCACCGGTCCCAGCTTTGCTAACTTCTTCAAGGGCAAGAAGGGTGGCTCGTCGGAGCCTTCCGGCCCTCTGGGCTTCTTCAAGGGCCGGAAGGCTTTGTGGTGGGCCTGGTGGCTGGTTCGAGCGGGCGCCTTGGTCGCCGTTCTCATCGGATTCATCCTGTTGATTGTGGACTTTTACAAGTACCACTCGTCGAACTGCTCGTGGTGCCACCGGTTGAGTTGCCTGGTAAGTCTTGATGCCAACTCCCAAATAGCCATATTTCAAATGCTAACGTTGTTTTCTATAGCCGGTCAAGGACTGGTGCGAACAGGGCATGAAACCCTATGAGATTAAGAATGTGACGACCACCAACCATAACTAACTTGGGTCTTTTTTTGTTGTATTTGAGATAGTCGATGATTGAGCCATCTATTGACGACCATGTCCTGTATCTATTAGACTTCACAGCATGTTGCATTAGTTAATAACCATTCTGAATACTTCCTGGATATACTACAATTTTATGCACTGGCATAAGTAGGGTGCACAGCCACGCGGCAAAACTAAATATAGCCGGACGGTGGCGGTGTAGATAATTACGGTAATTAATCTCGAGGACGGCGATCCGATGACGATCCGCTTCAACGATTCCCTCATTCTCCCTCTTCCTTCCTCTTTCTCACTCTTCCGTGCCTCTTGATCCTGGGACTCGGCCTGCCTTGTTCGAATATACGTCCCGGTCTTATCACTTTGTTACCTTTCCAACATCTCAACGATCATCCCGCCGAATCCCTCCCATTCAACTTATCACCCTTTCGAATCGCCCCGGGACATGCTTCATGTCGCAATGATCTAGGGCTCTGTCCATCCATCGTGGATATCGCCCTTTTGCTGTGAAGTAGCATTTCACTCTCAACAGGTCGCTAAATGACAATGGCAACTCTAGCCAGCTCCCCGCCGTCATCTCCGTCCTGGTCGAAACGCCGGCCGCGGGCCTGGGCTCTCCGATGCGAGCGCTACTGCTGTGCGGCAGCCTCGTTTTTCCCACTGGCATTTGTCTACGGTCTCACAACGTGGGCGGTCTACGTTGAGGCTAGTATCGGCTTGAAGCCGTCACAGAACCCATGGATCGGTAGGTGCATCGTTGGGAGAGGAGTTATGGCATATTCGACGGCTGACATCTTCCGGAAACCATAGGTCTGCCGAGTTCGATTATCGGCGTGATCCTCTACATCTGTTTAAATGCCTCATATACTGTTGCCGTCTTTACCGACCCCGGATCGCCGTCCGGATCCCGAAATGGTCGCCACGAATATAGCGCTCTCCCGATCACCGAACTCCCCGAGTATACGGCCTACACGGTGAATTCGACGGGCGGGTCTCGGTTCTGCAAGAAGTGCCAGTCTCCCAAGCCGGACCGGACCCATCACTGCTCCACCTGCAAACGATGCGTTCTGAAGATGGACCACCATTGTCCGTGGTTGGCCACATGCGTTGGACTCTACAATTATAAAGCGTTTCTCCTGTTTTTGATCTACACGTCGATCTTCTGCTGGGTGGATTTCCTCGTGGCTTCTCTGTGGATCTGGACGGAGGTGTTCAGTAATACCCAGTATATGGATACCTTCTTGCCGGTGAATGTCATTTTGCTGGCCATCTTAGGCGGGATTATTGGCCTGGTGCTGTCGGGATTCACTATCTGGCACATCAGTCTGGCCGTGCGTAATCTAACCACCATCGAATGCTTGGAGAAGACGCGCTATGTGTCCCCGTTGCGAAAAGCGCTGGATCGCCGGTTCCAACATGGCTCGCGAGGTGATGGCAGCGACGACCCTCACAGCCTCGGCCACCGTCTGCAGGATTACGGCAACCAAATATTAGACGCTCACGCCAACGCCATTCCCGGCGTGACCCGACCCGAAGAAGGCGAGGAGCAAGTGACTCCACTGCAGACACCACCCCGACAGCCGGGCATGACCCCGGCCCAGCAGGCGCTGTCGCGATCGTATGCGGAAATGGAACGGGAACGTGAGAATGATCGGTACCAGCAGTATCTGCACGAGCAGGACAATGAGAAACTGCCGAACGCATTTGACCTGGGCTGGCGTCGCAACTTGACGCATCTGTTCGGTCCCCGGCCTCTTTTCTGGGGCCTTCCCGTCTCGACGACCACGGGCGACGGATGGCACTGGGAGCCGAGCCCCAAGTTCATGCAAGCGCGCGACCATATCAGGGAGCGCAGGGAGGAGGAAGACGCGGCCCAACGGGAGTACCAGCGGGACCTTTACCAGCGCAATATGCATAACAGTCAGGCATGGGGCATCCCCACGCATACCTCCCAACCGCCGAACGCTTACTATCAGGAGTCGAACCGGCCGGATACCGGGGTCTCGATGAAGACGTTAGCACCGATGTCCCCGCGGCCCCGGCCGGGGGATAGCGACTATGAGGACGTGGAAGAGGCCGAGTTTCTTTCGAAGTCGAACGGTGCGGGCAGTCCATATCGCAATGGCGACCGCAGCCGTAGTGCTAAAGGCCAGTCGCAGTCTGATGAGTGGCGAGACTGGGATTGAGTCGTGGTAGATGATGATTTTTTCGTACGGCGTATATTTATGTAATGTCGTGCATGTTGCACATGTAGGTTATATTGGCTTTTCTGTGTTCGATTATAACTGGTGAGAGTGATATAGATGTCTGGCTCGGCGCATGGTGTGAAGCGGGAATTATGCTGATTGTGAATAAACAAACAAGAAGAATTAAGTTGTTGTGGATTTAATCTGTGCTTATTTACTCCGTGACTTAATTAATGAATTTCCCCGGTGTCCGGCATTCCAATTAGTGCCTGAATGCCAAGGCACCAAGGACCGCCGTCTTCCTTCCGACCAACTGGCCAATCCATTTCTCCATCTTTCTTCCTTCACCTCCCACCATCCAGCCAGCATTGGCTTTCTCCGTCTCTTATTCACTGTATCAATGGGATATCTTCATCGCAGGAATCTCCCCGCCTGATATATCTCTAATTCAGCAGAGACCAGCAACTTGGAAACTTCTTGCCTATCGCATTCGCATCCACCGCATCCCTCACATCAAGATCGACACTTACCCTGACATCATCACGTCACAATCACCTTCACCACCAAACAACCGAAGCACGAGGCGAGGGATCCCCAAAGGAATCAACACCCATCTCGTCTACAAACCCACCAGCAACGCCACACCCCACCTCCCAACGAACCACCCCTCAAGAGCCACAAAAAAAAAAAAATGCCCCCCTCCCACAAACGCCTCCTCAAAGAAGCCACCGAACTCTCCACCTCCCCATCCCCCCATTTCCACGCCGCCCCGGTCCAAGACAACCTCTACGACTGGCACTTCACGCTCGCCGGCCCACCCTCCCCATCGCCCTACTCGGGCGGGATCTACCACGGCCGAATCGTCCTCCCGCCGACGTATCCGCTGCGTCCGCCTTCCTTCCGCTTCCTGACCCCGACGGGTCGCTTCGAAGTCAATCGCGAGATCTGTCTCAGTATTTCGGGACATCATGAGGAGTCCTGGCAGCCTGCGTGGGGGATCCGAACGGCGTTGATCGCGATAAGGAGTTTTATGGATGGTGATGCGAAGGGGCAGGTTGGGGGGTTGGATGTGCCCGAGGAGGTGAGACGGGAGTATGCGGGGAGGAGTGGGGCGTGGTGTTGTGAGGTTTGTGGGAGGAGTAATGAGGCGATTCTTGGGGAGTGGAGGGGGGAGTGTAAGGAGAAGGGGGTTGTGGTTGATGGTGATGAAGTTGGGGAGGAGAAGGTGGAGGGTGAGCAGGGTAAACTGGACGATTCGAGTTCGAATGACAAGGAGAAGGAGAAGGAGGGTCTATCGGAGCAGGTCTCGGTCTCTCGGGGTGATGAGGTTAAGGGTTCTCAACTAGATGCGGGTTTATCTGCAGAGACGAAGCAGCTGCTGCTGCCACTGCAGGAACAGCAGCAACCATTGTCTGCAGATGTACCTGCATCTACGTCCACGTCCACGTCAACGTCGGCACCGGCACCGGCACCGGCACCAGCATCACCACAGCCTACTACATCCCCGACAACGACAACATCCACACCCACAAGAACAACACAACCCGCTATCATCCCGCCCGTCTCCCAATCTACCAATCCTCATACACCGCAAGACAATCCCTGGCTGGACCGCGCGATCATCGGGGTTCTGATCGCGCTGGTGTTTATGATCCTGCGACGAGTTGCAGGTACAGATGATTAATATCGTTTCTTAAATTGCGCATATCTATCTTATTCTTCTGTTTGGCGTTGGGGATGTTATCTTACTTTTTATATGTTATCCCTAGGTTCTTGGAAGCAGCCTGGCTGGATTAATGAATTGATGAAATGTCCTTTAAATGCTTTTTCACATAAGTAAGCATGAACATATACAACCCTTATTCCTGTTAATATGTATAAGTGGAAGCAGTAGATAAAGTAAGATATATGACTTGATTGTGAAAAGGTCCTATCTAAATATATACATAACGTTCTCAAGTCCTCGGTATAGGTTATATAATTCGATTTACCCTAGGTCACATCTATCAAACGTGTTCGTAATTGAGAGCTCAATTAATAATTTTCAATATTCTTCTTAATTAGATCCTGACTGCTACAATAGATATATGTACTAGGTTTATATTTAATAACAGAATTATATACACTTCAAATAACTATTACTCCAGTATAACATACATCGTAACATCCATCCAACCTTAAGAATCACCTCGATGCCGACTCTTATACCCATCCAACATCCTAACAACATCCTCATTCAACTTCGACGGTGCCCTAAAGGCCGAACTATTCCTATTCCTCTTTGTCAAGTCGAAATCAGCCTGCACCCGACCCGTCAAAAGCAAAAGCTCAACTGCCTCGGCATCCCCCCTCTCAGCAGCGATCATCAGCGGCGTACTTCCCTCCCTGTCCTTCTCTTCCGGATCGACCCCCTTGGCAAGCAGCAACCGCATAATATGCGTCCGTCCTCGCTGCGCAGCCCTCACAAGGGCCGTGACGCCCTGTTTATTCGGCGCGCTCGGATCAACCCTCTCGTTAGCAAGCAGCACCTCCACCACATCCGTGTGTCCCGCAGCAACAGCCGTTAACAGAGCCCGGTCTCCAAAACTAGGCTGCTGGTCCGGGTCCACGGTAGGGATGGCAAGCAGCAATTCCACAATCCCCGTATGTCCATTCCCCGCGGCACCTAAGAGCGGACTTTCTCCGCTCGTGGACCTGGCGTCCGTGTCCACGCCCTCGATTCCCAGGAGGCGCTTGACGATGCCCATATGCCCGTTTCGCGCTGCTGCGTGGAGCGGCGTCTGCCCGAAGTTATCCTTCGAGTTTGCATCGACCTTCCCCGTGAGCAGTAACGCCTCTACTACATCGTCTGCTCCCGACGCCGCGGCAACCGCAAGGGGTGTTTCGCCGCGCTGGGTCCGGCAATCAGGCTGGATGGTTTTGTTCGACAGGAACAGCTTTACGATGGCGAGGTATTCTCCTCCCGCCTTTGCCTTTTCCTGCACGACATCGGCATTCGTGGGCATGGCCGAATGCGGATTCCACATCTTGGGCGCCAAATGCAGGCCTCTCCCTGCGGCCCAGAAGAGCGGCGTTTGGCCCCGTGCGTCAGGCGCATTAGTGTCTATCTTCGGGGCGCCCGCGCACAGAAGAACCGAGACGACATCTGTGAACCCGTTCCCGGCAGCCCATGATAGCGGGGTTCTTCTGTTCTGGGGATCTTGGGTGTTGGGGTTTGCGCCTTCTTGCAGGAGGCGGGTACAAGGGTCTGGTTTGCCGTGGGTGGCGGCCCACAGTAAGGCCGAGCTATCTTCGTGATAGATTTGGTGATGATATAGGATTGGGTTAGTGATTGTGTACAGGTGTTTAGATGCTTTGGCTAGAGATGACACGTCTTGGAGAGATGGGAGGAAGTGAGTGGCGATGTATGAGAGTAATTCGGGGGGGAGGGTTGTTAAAGACATGTTTGTGAGGATTTGAAAGTTGGAAGAAAGGGAAACAAGCTGGACCTGATCAATGGAAGGCGGCAATTAGTACTTAAGCACCTCCTGGGCTGGAGGTGTGGGGACTTGGTTGTTAGACTAAGAACGGATTTTGATAGATGGAGGAAAAGTTGGTGCCGAGGGTGCCTGAAAGATGCCTGAAGGGTGAGGCACCTCAATTCCAGGAAGTATAGCATCACGTGCGGGTATACTACGGCCTCGTTTCTGGTTTTACAATTCGAGACATAAATTCAGTGGGGTTTTAGGATAAAGGGCATAAAAGCCACTCGGCGGAGAACTACTATATACAACCTATCAAATCTCTACCAAGAACAAGTCACCAAGGCAGACCAGTTCTGATCTCCCTTCGCGCAAGTCCCTCCCCCACTGCTCTTGGTGCAATCAGCATTCCGATACTTATCACAATGCAACTCTCCCGCTTTCTTGCCCTCAAGAGGGATATGCTCCCCCGCAGTATCCTTATAGGTACACTTGGAGCCGAATATCGTGAATGACATCCCGTCCCTCATCCGGGGATAGGCATCCTTTGTGTTCACAGCATCGGGCTTGACCCTCGACGCGTCCGGGCATCCAATAAGGATGCCCTCAGGCAGGGGAAATGTCGACGTATTCCACACGTCCCATTCGCCGGTGCTCTTGCTGCTGTCTCTGTAGTAGGTGATTTCGAGCTTACCTTTGTCGGATCCGCTGGTGGGCGCGGGACGGCTGTCGCTGGATGTGGTTTTGGTGGCCCATTCAGTGGTGAAGTCGGCTTTCTGCCTGCTGCGGATGCTGCTGGCGATGGATTGGTACACAGAGTCGGGTTCCACCGTCGCGAAGACATCCACGGCAGTCACGGTCATCGGGTGGATCTCTTCGGAGGTCGTCTTGGTGATGGTCTCCGTGGATCCAGTGGGCGAGCAGCCGGCTGTGGCCACACAGTAGGTGTCTGTGGTGGTCGTCAGGGTGTTTGCGCCGGCGGGCGTGTAGCTGCTGATGACCTCTGTGCAGATCGAGGCCGTCTGAGTGGTGGAGCAGGACTTGGGCTCGTCGTCGTCGTCATCATCGCTGCCCTTTCCGTTGCTGCTCCCGCCGCCTGAGCTTCCGCCAGAAGATCCCGGACAGGTTCCTAGGAGGGCGCAGAAATTGGTTCCACAGCCAGGCTTGGTGCTGAGTGGGCCGCACCCGCCGGAGTCTTTGGGCTTGCCGGGTTTGACGGTGACCTCGGGGATGGGGGTTTTGGGCAGGATGATGGTTCCGGTGGGGGTGGGCTGAATGTCTTCGCTGTGCGAGGACGAGTGGAATGTCACGATGACCACGCCCGCGGTCGTGGAGGTGGAGGTCGCACCAGGTCCGGCGGTGATGCTGGGCGAAGGATCGGTAGTCCAGGTGTAGGAAGGGTCGGTGGGCATTAGTTCAACACCGGGGGGAAGAGTGATGCCCTGGGATGGGGGCATGATAGCCTGGGTAGGGTTGATGGTCATGTTCGCTGAATCGGCAGGGACATAGACCGGATAGAACGGAATGTAACCGACGGGGAAGGGGCTGGGCGTGATGACGGTAGACGTGGTGACGACAGCATTATCGTGGCTGTCGTGGGAGATCAGTGGGATGGTGACAGGACCCCAGGTCACGGTTTGCGTAGGAGTGACAGGATAGTCAGGAAGGATCAGAGTGCAAGGAGCCTCGCAGAGGGCATCGTGATCGTCGTCGGTCCACAACGAGGGTGGAACGTAGACAACATCGCCGGAGCCGCCGCCATGGCTGCCATCGCCGCTGCTTCCACTGTTGCCATCATCATCGCTGCTCTCCTTCGAAACGCAGGGATCGGGGCAATAGTCACCGCGGCTACAGGCAAAGTTGCAGAGTCCGTCGTACACCAAGGGATCCTTGCCGGAAGCACCCTTACCACTCAGTCCAGTCTTAGGCGCCTTGGGGACATTCAAAGCGCCCGTTGCGGTACAAGTGCAGGAGCTGATAGGACAGTAGCCGAAATTGCACGCATACGAGCACAGTCCGGCCAGATCCCCATCACCAGTACCCGAAACACAGGCCGGGGAAGCAAAGTCAGACACTGTGGGCACAGTCAGCTCCACCTTCTCGGTGCCACAAGCCTCCGGAGGACAGTAGTCATAGTTGCAACTGAAACTACACAGGCCACTGTACGTAGCATCCTCTCCGGCAATCGGATATCCTTGGACACCAGTGGCCTTGGGCTTCTTCCTCTGAGCACCTAGAGCCTCACAGGTACACGCGGAATAGGGGCAGTATCCATATTGACAGGCAAATTCGCACAATCCGACAAAGTTGTTCACGCCGGTACCATTGACGCAGACCGCATCATCAAGCTTGAGTCCGGGCGACGCTTGGACGGCGGAAGAACTGGAAGCACTTCCCACCCACGCGTTGTAATTCTGAATGCCATCGGTGCAGGAATCAGAGATACTAGCGCCGGTGACCTTTGCAATGACACTTCCCCCACGGTGGATGGTCACGACAACCTCGCCAGAATGGCCTCTGAATGAGGCCTCGCCATGATGAATACCAATGTCATTTTCGGGAGTCTTGATCCATGTAGCGGGCACTGTAGCACCACCGACAGTGACAGTCACGTCGGCTGCCAGGGTGAGAAGAGCAGAGAAGAACACCTTGTCCTGCAAGACTTGTGCCGGGGTGTATTCCAGTTGAAGCTGGCTGGCCGTGTTGGCAGAAGTTCCACCGCTGCTACACGCTGCTGCAGGAGCCTTGCGATACCAGACTTGCAAGCCCTCGTGCGTGACGGTGGCAATGCCGTTCTTATACGTGTCAATGACATATGGAAGGAAGAGACGCCAGCCATCATGAGGCATATCAAGAACGTAGTTGTAAGGGGCCTTGCCGATATCGAACGCAGCCATACTGTTTTCATGGACGGGGCCGATATAGTGCGACTCGCCATAGTCGTTCCAGGAGATAATTTGCACAAATTCAGGAAGGGGTTTGATCGACATGATTTCCTGCCAACGATCGTACCACAAGTGGTCACTTCTCCATAGCCAGTTCTTGTCGTACCCTGGCAGGTTGGTGTAGAACCACGGAGATGCAGGCATCATGTAAGGCTTGCCGTCGAGATAGTCCAGGTAAGATGCATCGGTATAGGTGTTCATGTCCCAGTCACCCCAGGGCCATGCAGCCCAGTTGAAAAGGCCATCGGCAGTGCCTAGCTCAACAGCTGCCTTGGCTCCAACAGAGGACCAATCGGGAATGAAGAAACAGTCGGTCTCTGACTTGATCTTGGTCCAGTCATCAGAGTTGGAAGGGCCTTCAAACGTGGAGACGAAAGGCTTTCCATCATGTTCGTAATAGCCGCCATAGGCGGACCATTCGTTGATCAAAGAGATGACCGTGTCTTCAGACCACGGGCCATTGCCGGCATAGTCAAAGGAAAAGAAGAGTTTGAATCCAAGATCGCTAGCAGCTCTAAAGGCCATGGGAAGAGCCTTGCTGTTTGCTGCATCTCCCACGGCCATGTTCAGAGCAAAGGCATCGATGTGAGCATCCTGGGCTGCAGAGATATCGGACTCCCATTGCGACGAAGTCCAATTGGCAGTGTTGGTAACCTACAATCAAGTTAGCATTATGAATGAATGAAGTCACGGTATTGGGGGCAATACCATAAAGTGAGCAAAAACTGCTCTTGCCTCGACCTGACAACGGCCCAGCAATAGGGCCCCTGTGGTCAACAAGCCCAATACCCTCATTATGCAGAAGAATGACACTGAATGTGTCGATGTAATTGTCGAGAGACACTAGAAGGAAGGGGGTTATTTTCCATGGGAGACTTTTATATATGAGAATATCCGGTACCGATTTCACACACTCCTTTTTGGCCCATTTCATGGTATAGAATTTTCGCCTCCTCGTGGAATACCATGGCATGGTGGCACTAATTCGTGAGCCATGTCCTTTGTAGGTATTTACTCCGTATACCGATTGCTAGTTAACGTCCATGCTAAAAACAAGAGAGCTAAGAAATGACTAGTTGGCTTAGCAGTCCCAGGATCGCAGCCTCGGCTAGACTAGTGTACCACTATCTCCGAGTACTACTAAAGAGTGGATCTTCAGGGACGGACCAAACTCCGGAGTATCGTGACATCCAGTATATCCGAAAGGATCTGTCATAATGAGGGCGATAACACACGCTATCCAATGTACAACTGTGACGTTTCATACTTCAAGGTCCTACAGAAAGGTTTTTTTTTATTCGATAATGAGTATATAAAAGTTGCCATCTCAAGCAGAGTTTTCTGGAGGACATCTCGGTCATCTCCAAGCACACTAGTGCATTTAGCGGACCCGCCACCTCAGTCATGTCCTGGAACTCCAAAAGGCAATCCATTGCAGTCATTCTCCTCCTTCCGTAAGAAACTAGCCTGTCTTGCCCATTCAGCCTCCGACTCCGATCTCCGAGACATAACTTAACCCCATGTAGATCACGCTAGGCCAGCATAGGGCTCGGATATCATCCGTTCCTGAATATCAGGCAAATGCGGCTATCTGAACGGTTCTAGTGCACGGTTTCAGGGGCAAAAAAATTCAAGGAAATCACGTACTACACACTATATCTAAGTGATCCGGACATTTGCCATCGAGACCCTCTTGGGGGCCATTTATGTGATGGGCCCAACCAGACCTGAGATATCAATAGTATAGCAAGCTAACATGGCTACAATCTCGTTAATGAAGAGATTTTTCGCCTTCCCCATCCTGTTAGCTAATTACAGTGAAGAGCTAGCAGGGAATTTGACGGACAACGGAAATTGATACTATTTGGGAACAAGGTCAGACCCGGCCGAAATCCCAATATCTTCCCCTATCTTCGGTTGCAGAATCCCCATTGAGAATGAAGTAGACTAGTATATGAGTTGAACCATTTCCCTGGCTTGACCGTCTTTGCTTTGAGGATTCTTGCCAACCAGGTGCCCTGGGCAATATCTTCTCTCACGAGACTTGCTCGTGTTTGATTCTCAAGTAATTCCTTCTGTTTTCTTCCTCGTCTTCGTCTACATTCAACAATGCGTTGGTCTCACCTGGCCAACGGCCTACTGGTGGCCCTGGCCTGGAGTAGCAATGCAGTCACAGCCCACCCGACCAATTCCACATCGCACCCCTTAGAAAAGCGTCTTTCTCCGATGAATATTGAGTGTGCTCAATCTCCTGCGGAATTTGTGTGGCACCACTTGAAAGAAGTGGAGGAAATAGTGAGAATGCATCAAAAGTGAACTCTTAGACCACTTCTTACTAATGAATTGGTGCTTTAGCTGGACGTGGTAATCCAAAGGACTCAGGATCTTTACAGCTTCCTTAACGGCCAGCCGACGATCGAGTTCTTGAACAAGGACGAAAATGAGGTCTTGCTATCAACATTCAATACATTTACGTCTATCTACGGCAAATTCTTCTGGGGCTCGGAGGATAGCAAAAGCAAGGACGGCAAAGACCGTGTCAAGAAGGTCCTCGGTGAGTATATACGTCCTTGACGCTTTCAATACTTAACTGACAATGTTCTACCTTAAGAGAATTTCAGTGCCATGAAAAGCCGGGCCTCCACCGGCAGCTACATCTCCAACGTCGAGATCCGCTGCGACGACACCTGGCTCAGTGATGTTGATCAAAATGGTCAATCATCTACTAGTAAGTTCTCCTCTAGTCCCCATTCGCTATTTTACCACCACGAGCTAATCACCCTCCTACGTAGACCCTCTTTGGTACTTTGATAGCAGGCATCCTGATCAAGCGCCACCAGGGCCTGACAAAGGCTGGATTGACTTTAATGAGGTAAAGGGGGCATGTCGTGATGCTGGTCATAAACATTATGCCTGGGTCAATGATAAAATCCACGGGACCGATGAGAGTGTCCTGTCACTCTGTCAGGATTTTATGGACCATTGGCTTCAAGTCTATTATGCCGGTAACAAACTGCCCACCCTTCGCCAACAGGAATATTCTCCTCTGCAGTATAAGCTCGATGATTTCAGCGGGCCATTTCTCAGCACGGCCCTAATTCATGAGTTGACCCATGTGTCTCAGATCTTTGGCAGTCCTCCAACCAGTGAGTCTCCTTTACCTTCAGGGGCTGAGAAACACATAGCTGACAGAAACCAGAGGACCAACCATGTGTCAAGGATGGAAAGACTGTGGGCGGATATGGATGGTTTTGCATTACCCAGATTGCATCGTCGTCCACGGAAAGGGCTTTGCTTAATGCAGGTGAGTGGGATATTTTTACCTTCTAACCCTCATATCCTCCGGAGTCCAGCTAACCTCTTTCTGTGTTAATTTATAGATTCATATGCCTACTATGCAGTGGGTAAGTTTCATTCTTTCCCCTAACTAAAGTCCTAGAACTGTCGTTAACTTTGCCACCCAGCTATGTACTTTAACAAGAACGACTGGTCCACCGGAAATTCCGAAGCACTTACAACATTGTAATTAGATTACAGGAAGAGGGACTGACAGAAGAGACAGTAATTCATTGACACTATAAGAACGACTCCTACGCAACATATACTGATTGTAAAACTTGAGCAAGACTAGCTTCTAATCTGTAGGATCGAACGTAGGGCTCCTACAGTCATGGAACCAGTGAACATCAATCTAAGACATGTAAATAGCCCCCGATTTCAGAAGCTCATAGGGAGACCAACAGAACCGACGACAAATCCACCGGTCAATCCCTTTCAGTTCCCTCCAGCAACCCTGCGACAGATCCTGATGGCAAACAATGCCCATTTCATGCACTACACAACAAATCGCGCTCAATTAAAGAATAGCAGTAGGCAGGCATCGTTCTAGGCGCCCAGGGAGTAAAAGCACGTGACCTCCCAGCGCCCATTGACATACACACCGACAACCATCTTCAACCTGCGATCAACTTTCGGTTGGGCCGTGAACTTATCAGCTCAATATATAATTTTATCTATCTTGGTTCCCTCAAACTATTCTGATAACTCCCTGAAAACTCTTTGTACGCCTCTACTCCACAGAGATACAGCCATGAACCCCTTCTTTCGGCTCGGTCGATTCCTTCGACGACCACCGTCTCCACCAAGAATGTCCACCTCTTCTTATTTTCCCAAACCATATTCTACTAAGAGATTTGAGGAAGAACGAATGCCTGCATATAATCGAGGTCTATACTATCCCGTCAAGCTCGGTGATATCTTCCATTCCAAAACCAAGTCCTCAGCAAGCTGGGATTTGGAGCAAATTCAACGGTGTGGTTCTGTCGGGACCTGCAGTACGAATGATCTTCTCATTTAGGACTCCTGAAGACAATTGATCTCTCTAGACAGCACCGCTACATTGCACTCAAGATCTATATCACCAGTTCTAAGGAAAATCAAGAGGTGCGCGTACAGGAGCACCTTTCACGAATCAAATCAGATCATCCCGGAAGCAGTCTCGTCCGCAAAATGATCGACAAGTTCGAGCTTACAGGGCCCAGCGGTACACATCAATGTGTTGTCCACGAGCCGCTATTGACCAGTCTGTTGCACTTTCAAGCAACCCTGGATCCCTCCAGTCTTCCGGAGGATTTACTCAAGGGAGCACTGCAGCAGTTATTACTGGCCCTTGTTTATTTGCACTCCGAAGCGCATGTAGTACATACTGGTTTGTCTCTCTTCGAATCCTCACTACATGATTAGCTTATAGTTAGGATCTAGACATACAAGCCAAGAACATTATCATCAGCGCAAAGGATGATTCGGTCTTTCGTGAATGGGACGACAACCAGGCAAAAGACTCAACCCCACGGAAAGTTAACGATGACTACACTCTCTACCTATCACGCCCGTTTGATCGTAAGAAGGGATGGAGCGGCTTCGGGGTGCCACTAATATCGGACTTCGGAGAAGCTCGTCTAAGGGAGGTCCACGAGGGACTAATTCAACCGGATATTTACCGTGCGCCTGAGGTGATTCTCGGGTTGAATTGGACATCGAAAGTCGTTATATGAAATGTTGGGGTATTGGTAAGTGTATTGCCATTTTGATTTTTCTTATGTGTTGGATTGACCAATGCAAGATCTGGGACCTCATTGAGGACCACCATTTATTCGACGGTAGAGGGCCGGATGGTAGGCATTCGGATACGCATCTTCTTGTAGAGATGGTAGCAATGCTTGGTTCTCCATCCTCTGAATCTCTACGCAAGTCTCCCCATAGCTCCAAATATTGGGATCCCTCAGGTATAGCCCGGTCTAGTAAAGCTCCCCGTTGTGTGGAGTCTTGTGCTGATTTCACCAACAGGCCAATGGACATCTTCTATAGAAATTCCAGAAAACTCATTAGAATACTCGGAAGAGTATCTGGAGGGTGAGAACAAGGAAATATTTCTGCAGTTTGTTAGAAAAATGCTGCAATGGGATCCAGAGGAGAGGCAGAGCGCTCGTGAACTACTGACAGGTCCGTGGTTAACATCCCAGTAGTGGGCGCAGCAGGAACTTCTATTATTCTTTCATTCTGTAACAGGAATCAATGGCAGAAACATATAACCACATTCAAATAAACTGATCTTCAGGTCCATCTTGGCTAGGGGGTTAAAGTATTGTATTTAGCTTCACTTTCAAGTCGCCTGAATCAACCACAAAAAAGACTTTCTACATTCCTGTCTAGTGTCTACCTGGTGGTAGATTCAGTACTATGAAAAGTCACTGCTCCTATAATTCTCTCTCTCATCTCATCTCATCTTCATCTTCATCTTCATCTTCATCTTATTCTCATCTCATGCTGCTATTCTTTTATCGCCCTTAATAGTTCTGCCCGACTAGGCGACGACTCAGCGCAAAGATCGCCCTCCGCTTGCTGGAGTATTTTAACCATTGCAACTTCTGTCTTATCTAGCCCATTAGACGGTACCGTCCCACTGCTGGGTAGTTCAAAACTAAAATCCGCCCCTGCTTGTACAAGTCTCTCAACCATCGGGACATTTTTCATTGTTATTGCCCATTTCAGTGCTGTCCAGCCGGCTAAGGATACGACATTGACATCTGCCCCTGCTCCTAGAAGCGTCTCAACCGTCTCAAGATGGTCATTTTGTACCGCTAGCCACAGTGCTGTCTGACCGTCCCATTTAACATTGACATCGGCCCCTGCTTCTATCAATCTCTCAACCACCTCCTTGTGCCCGCCTTTTGCGGCCCTACACAATGCGGTACATCCGACTGTTTGGGCATTGACATCAGCCTTTGCTTCTATCAGCATCTCAACTACTCTCGTATGGCCTCCTTCTGCAGATGCCACAAGCGGGCATTCGTAATACACAAACTGGTTGGGATCACGCCCCGGGTCTGTGATAATGGGAAGTCGACGAAGAAATTCTCTCCTGAAGTTTGGAGCTTCTGGAACAATACATTCCGTGCTGGTATCGGCCCCTGCTTGTAGTAGGGATGCCACAGAGTCTTCGCATCCATCTTGAGCGGCAAAGAACAATGCATGGTTCAAGATGTTGTCTGTGTTATTTTCGAGTTGAAGAAGTGCTCTTGTAAGACCATAACGATCTTGCGGTGTAACACAGAGCAGAGCCTCGTGCTTGAACAAGTCAGTCAAAAGGTGAGAATGACGTTCTGCGAGACACAAGAATAGGGAAAAGTGCCCCTCAGCTAGGGACCACTGGAACTCCTTCGGCATTCTAACCTCCTCATAGTAGGTTTTTGTTTCTGCCTCCCAGGGCCTATCCGCAGGGATTTCGAGTCTCTCTACACACTGACAAAATAATATCCATGTTTCTTGGTGGGTCTCTGGGTCGATATCACTCAGGTGTTGGAACCAAAAGTATTTGGCATAGTCAAGGAACTGAAACGCTGTCTTTTGAGTCTCTGCCTGTTGGAGCGAAATTCCTGCATTCGTGAATATCTCTTCGGATTTCTTCTCAAGCTCCACGGAGTTAAATCGCTGCAGCCGGTGAGAGTAGGACAAGAGCTTTTGCGCCATGTGGTTAGACACACTGTTCGATTGATAGACAGGTTGGGCGCCCAGTTGAAAAGGTTTGAGGTGTGTACTGGACCCCTTTTTGTACTTGGTAAGCTGACCTTTGAAGTTGTCGAAATTAAGGTATGTCATACAAAGCAGGCCGAGGGTGAGTTCAAGACTTTCCCAGTCAAATCCTGCCGCGCATGGCTTATTGGGGAACAAATGTTGCTTGACACTGTGATGAATATAGTGCACTGTGCTCTCTTCCTCGTCGACAGACACTAGACCACAGCAGTCATTGACAAGACGATCCATGTCATTTGAAAAAGCTCGAGTGTTCAGACTTTTTTGCTTGGGTGCTAGACTCAGGAACTCTTGGTACTCCATCAGTGTCAAAGGTCGTTTCACCACGCCACAGAACTGCAGCAGCTTGGTGATGATATCGGCTGTTGCTTTCTCACGAGCGCGGCGAAGCTTTCGGTCAAATATCTCAGACAGTGTTTGGGGCAGATGTGTCAGTGCTTCTAAGATGGCATCGTCACTATTCTGGTCACAAAGCTCCTCGATACAAAGGCACGTCCAAAGGAACCTGGTTCGAATGTATTAGCAATGTTTGTAATACAGCGAGTCCTATTGTCTGCTTCATCAAGTTGAAAAAAGGAAGAAGTTAGTTCTTTGGAGGTGTGTCATACTGCTGACTTACATCCCATTCGATTTATCTCGCAGTGTGTTGGATATTTCAAGTATCAGGCGTGGATCGCCCAGCTTCAGCTTGTTCGTCTCCAAGCAACGACTTAGAGCTGTGTCTATGCAGAGATCGATGTCAGGTTTGACTTTCGATTCTGCCATCAAGATTTTGAAATGAGGCGCTATTTCTGTAGGAAATTGCCTTTCTGTATCAGGACGGCCTGCCCAAAGAATCTTGACATTGGAGACAAATTCTTTGCACAATTGGGCCATAGCCCCAGCTACCTCGCGAATCACTTTGCTGTCGCACTCGTCCAATCCGTCAAGGATAATATATTTTTTCTTGTCGCGACCGAGGTGCTTTATTAAGAACTCGATGACCTCAGGTGTGTCAATGTTCTCACTCTGCTGAAGCAACGCTCGGAGAGCCCCATCTTCAGCACGCTCAATCTGGGAATCTAGCATTTGGCGGGCCAGGCTTCCGAGAATGTTTCTCGTTGACAAAGAATCCTCGATGTCTGACCGACAGAAGTAGTACGAAATGACTTGATTTGCTTCTTGGGATGCGTGAAGATGGGCGACGACGTTCGACGCCAACACTGTTTTGCCCACACCCATCGTACCGGAACACCAGAGAAAAGCACTCTGCGAACTGTCTCTCCATTCACAAAAGGTGGTCTCTTTCAGCAACCATTCCGCAGTATCCGGAATGCGCTGTCGAAAAGCCTGTTTCCAAGGTTTGACATGGTTGATAGTGGAGAGATTGTCTCGGATACTCGACCTCAATTTGGCCGCATCCCTCTTCATCATATTCATGCGCCACTCGCGTTCTTCCGCGTGGTGCTTCATGGATCTCTTGTAAAAGTCGATTGAGAAAGGGCGAAACTTTGCGTTCTCTTGAGACTCATGCTCCTGTATTATTCTACTGTCCCTATCGGCTTTCTGTGACTCCAGGAGTATCTGCAACCGGATGTTTTTCGTGGTATCCTCGAGGTCATCAAGGAACGGTTTGAACTCGAATTCGAAGGGAGAAAATATAGAGGCCACTGTCTGGGTCCATGCTGGGCGCCGCGTTATTTCAATGACTCTTGTGCAAAGCCGAATAATAATAGCATAGTAGTCACAAAGCACGCGTTGTAGATCGACACATCCAGGATAGAGGGGACCAAATTGTTGATATGTCGGACAGGTCTTGCCGATCGCCATAATCATAGTTGTGACTTTATCGAAGTAGGAGGCAACATTATTCGCTGTGAGAATGGCTGTCTTGACACCGCCCCAAACGAGAGCAGCGATTGTTGGATTAGAGCTCACGAATGTATCGACGATGCCGCTGAACTGCTGGGTTGCTTCGAGCAGAGTACACAGCCGAGGTGCCACGCATCTTCTCGACGTTTTGCCGTTACTCGCATCGATCTGTGCCACAAATTGAATGACACTGGCGGCATCTGGGACTTTTGCGCTAGCGTGGTACTCGTTCTTTTGTTCGTTTGTTAGAATCGCCTCGAAACTACACAGAGCGTTCTGTAGGCTAAACGTCGGGTCAGAATCGGTAGGTTTGCGGATGGAAATTTGCGAGCTCATTTATATTGTTGCACATAGAGGATTATAGGGAATGGAGAAGTGGCCAAAATGATGATAGGAAATGGCGACAGATGATGGTCAAAGATGGTGGGGAATAGATGTGCACAGCCTTGTCGGGCATCAGCTGAACTCACGTGGTCGCACTTTCCCTCGGCGCCTATATTACTTACTAGTCTTTCTCCTTAGGTAGGAAATTGTTTGAAATTTCTTTAAAAGTAACAATTAATACATACAACAGAATAGAAAAAGGTCGCTATCGAACCAGCATCCACCACCACTCCTGCACAATCCACCCATTTCCGCGGCCGCGCATGACTCCTACCTGACACATCCACTCCAATATCAATTCAATCTCCCAGGCTCCTAGGCTCGGTTTCATCATGCTAGCGATACCGGACGCGCTGATCCCAGGTCTTGTGGCAACACATCCCACCACAGCCGCCAGCGCCAACTCCCACAGCTTAGCGACGAAGTTGCCATGGATGTCATACCACAGAGGAACCTTCTGGAACACGGGGTTCGGCGTGTCGAAGTCAGTCACGGGCAGCTGTGGTGCTGGTGTCTTGGACCTAGCTTCCTCGATCGGATCTCCATATATGTATTTGCCCTTGACCGGACGGACTTCGACAGGGAACCGCAGCTTCTGCTTATCGATCAGCCGCGTCAGATATCCGCCATCCGTAAGGCCGTATTTGTCGCGAGGCGGGTCTCGGGGCTGCAGCATAACTCTGCCTGTAACGTAGAGGTTGATCAGTGCGAGAATATCACCGTCTTCGGCGCTGTAAGAGACATCAAATACGCCTTGCTTTTGAAGCACCGGGTCCAGAATCTCGGTCTTGAATTGGGCGGCGCGTCTCAGTTCAGTCGCCTCGATGGCGCGTTTGCGTCCGAGGGAATGTAAAAAGTGCTCGGTGACGTCGTAGTTGCGACCTGGGATGACTCGGCCCTTGTTGCCCGTGCAGAGCACCCGTTCCGTGATGAGCGACTGTAAGGCCTGGTCGACGAGTTTCTCGCCCAGTTGACTGAGAATGTGTCGTGCAGTCGCAGCGTTGTACGCCTCCTCGGGGGTGATAACGTTGGCGCGAACCCATGATTTAGCCACGTCAAGACGAGCAAGCTCGGCCTGCCGAGCAGTCATCTGAGCTGGCTTGTTGGCTACGGGGATCGCAAAAGATATTCCAGCGCAGAGCGTGCGTCGACGCTGGACGGTAACGGAGTAACTGGTCTGGTAGATGTCGTCCAACGAAGGGGGGGCCTCTTCCCGTATATCGAACAAACCGTCGAATTCTTCGCGCGTGGCGGGAAGATATGGGAGCTTTTCGGACCGAGGCACTTCCAGCTGTTCGGCCGCCCAGTCAACGATCCATTCCCAGTCATAGTTCTCGAGATCATCGTAGTTGATTGGGGGTACCCGGCCGTGCTCGTAAGCATCCAGGTATAGCTCCTGGAAATCACTTTGCATTTTGGCTATCGGAAGTCGCATCCGGTTGAGAATCACCCTTGCTCGCTCCTGGATGTAGGCTGGGTCCTGGTCAGGAAAGCAATATGAAAAAATATTCCAGTCAATGAGCCGTGCATCATGGCCGCTAGCCAGTGTGCGAATTACGACGATTGCGGTCATGATCTTCTGCACCAGCACCTCAGGCAATTGATTGGCAACCCGATTCCGACGAATTGTTCGAGATGGAGGCGATGAGTGTGATGCAGAGGCTGCTGAAGCAGTGGCTTCGCCCTGCAATAACTTATTCAAGCGTCGGTTCTGTGGCACATAATCATATTTGCGCCATTTATAAGCCCGAGGCAGCTCCCTCTCCTGACGATTGGGAGGCGACATGGCAGGCCCAGCAGGCAACACGCGACGCGCTGCTTGCCTGGTCGTTTTCGGTTCCGGTGGCGGCCGAGCTGGAGGTTTAGGCTCGTCATTATCGAATCGTATATTGCCCTGGATTGGTGTACTGAAAAGATCTGACACGGTTTGGTTGATGTACCGCAGATCCTCGGTAGTTTGATTCCGGAGCAGGTCTTCGTTTTGCAGCTCCCATCTCAGAATGACCCTGTTGTCGAGGAAGAATCTTCTCGAACGAGGGTCTTCCTTGTCGGTATAATCCATAACGCGGCGCCGTGTCATGTTGAATATATCATCAAGAGACTTGGGCAGAACAGGTCCTTGGTCGAGTTCGAGTTCAAATTCCGATTCCGGCTCTTTGTCGGATTCATGCTCATTTTCGTCCCTGACTTCAGGCTGTTTAGACTGGATATCCCAATTCTTGGGAATCTGTAAAGAAATAATCCCGGCATGAGTAGCATAGGTCCCAGACCCTGCATGGTAGGTCTGTTTTGGATTCATAACCATAGCGTAGGGAGCCATAGCGGATAAGGGGATGCTGAGACGACCCGCCATTCTGCGACGAGGAATCGAACCGCCCGGTGGTAGTGGTGCATGAGAGGAGGTCGCGGTTCGACGTCGTCGCTGGGGATATACCGCAGCATCGCCATCGGTTTGAGTCATTTCTGGTCTGGTAATAGACGTCAGACTCTGCAGGGAGTCTTCGGTTGAGCGGCGACTGATTTTCATTAGTCGCGGCGGTTTTCGCCCAGTATCCCTTCCAATCGCAAGTCTTCTAAACAGTCGTCGCTCGATGTTCAGACCTTTTCTCCTTTCTGCAGCCAAGACAAACCCGGGCTTCTGATGTAGTTGTACGGTGATCCCCTGCTCAATAGGAGGGCGACGAGGCAGCAGCCCAGGATCATTGCTCTGCGTAGACCTTCGACCGTGACCGTTCCTGGACATTTCCCGATCAAATTCGACACCCTCTGGGATGTAGGGTCGTCGGGGGTCTGCGGCCAACATTTTTCTCTGCAAATCTTTCATGATAGGAGCATCCGGTTGCAAGTCCGTTTTGCTGATTATGGATTTTGTCACCATGACCCCTTTGCTGTCTCTGCCGCTAAAAGTATGTTGACGTAATTTACCAGCGTCGACCATGTGTTTGACAGTTTTCTTGATAGTCCTGAGATCAGGCTTCCCTTTGTAGTTCAACTTGTTCCACGCAAGAGTGAATGGGCACCACAGCTCAGAGCCCATTGGGAATACACCTCCAGCCTGCTGTAGAATATCTAGGATAATCTTTCTGCGCAGCACATTAACCGATCCGCCTTTCTCTGGTATTTTCCCGAGTGGCGCCTCTTCCGCAGCTTGCGAGGTGACAGGCCTTTTTTCTGCAGCAGGAGATTCATGGGAACGGACATCTGCCGGGGGAGTCTCTGGCTGAACACCATTTGTAGGGACAGTATTGGTGGCATTCTCGCTTGGTTTATCGCCAGCAATAGCCGCTCCATTTAATCCTTGTGGCTGGCCATCGGTAGCAGGAGCCGACTCGCGAGACTTCTGGCCCTGACTTGTCTCTTTCGATGGTGTTCTTCCAGGGCTTTCTTCCGGTCTGTTCGCCTTATCGATAGGTGTCATTGATGTGTCGCGTACCGGAGACTCTACTCTTCGCCGCTTTGATCGTCTCGCTGGCGTACTTTCATCTTGCTCCTCATGCTCGCCCCGCTTCTCGGCCAGTTTGTCGGAAGTCGCATTGAGAGTAGGCGAGGCTGCAGTAGTCCCGTTGAGACGCCGTTGCTTGTAAGATCTGCCGGATCCTAATTCTAGCTCCTCATTGAACGAAGCACGGCGCCGCAGGTTTGCTCTGGTTCCTCTGTTTGGTGTTTCTGTCGGCCCATCGACATGCGCAAGTGGCTGGTCCTCGGGCACGACCGCCGGCGTTGTTCCAGATGTTGAATCGACGCTTTCGCTTCGCGAAGATTGGCGGGTCTCTGCGGCATCTTCATCTTCATCTTCTCCATCCTTCCTCTCTTTGACAAACCATGGGAATGATCCCAACTTTGGCGATCTGAAAACGGCAATACGGCTGATCCTCGGACGACCCTGTCGCTTTCCAGCGGGTCTCCGCCGCCCACGAGGAGTGACATATACACCTGGTTGAGACCGCTCTATGAGCAACACGCTGTATTCGGTCCATGTCTCATCCAGTCCAAGTGCTTCAAGTTTCTCCTTTTCAGACATTCCGATAAAACGGCTGGCATCTTCCCTTTTCTTTCTCGCGGGCCGAGTTACCGAAACCACCTTTGCGGAACTATCTTCCATATCAACATCCTTGTCGCGACGTGTAGCTCTCGGCCTCTTCGGTGTAAGCAATTTGTCTGGGTGCGACACTTCCAAATACTTCTGTCCATAGTGGATTCCTTTTAAACGAGATGGTGTGTGAGCAAATATTTTCAATGTAGAATGTGTGATTGACACGGCACTCACCATACGTATCGCCGTCTATCTGCATCGCCTTGAGGTCAGTAGAGGTGCAGCTATAGTCTGACGGCTTAGCGCTGAGCATGCATTCCAAGAGAGTAGCATTCCCGTGTCTCAACAGTTCCTTCCGAGGAATGTCAATTGAGAAGCCATACTCATCAAGTTCAGGTGATGCATCGACTGGCGGTACTCGGAGGTCTGCCCCTTTCGTGCTTTTGGGCTTATATTCGACAGCCTCCCACGTCGACTTTTCCGCATCGACAAGTTTGCGGAAATTGTTTGCGGAGTAGTGGACATAGTGAGTGATGGTTCGGCGGAGGGCTGTGTCTCGTACGATGGCCAGATGGCGTAGGTGTAGCGGTTGGGACAGCTGCCAGCATGCGACCAGGCGGCCCAGCGCATTTTCCAGTGGTCGGCGAAAGAAGCCTCCAAAGCACGTTCTGATGATGTCCTGCATGGTTTCACATAAGTTCAAGGCCACATGCTGTTCACGGTTCTGAGTTGACTCACAATGTTGGTAATTCCAGGCGTTCCTGCCTTGTCAACCGCCTCGAATATCTGGTTATGAATGTTGCGATCTGGCGTCCAAGTAGGGATCATTCTGCCAGCTTCCTCCATATCTTCTTCTCTTTTGACCATTTTCAATGCCTCGGGTTCGTTAAGCGACGAGGCTTCTAGCCCCTCGTCATTCGGGTCGATATCCTCATCCAGTTCTACATTGTCCTCATGTCCCAGATTCGTCGTGCAGTGCTTACTAAACTCATTCAACATTTCAAATTCTCGCTTCGTAGGATGACGTATAAGCAGGACACAAGGATGGTATTTGTTGAAGGTATCGGCATATTGGGTCAAAGCCTTGACTCGCTTGAGAAGACCCAGGCGCTCACACTTGCGCAAAGCGCGCGAAAGAATCCTCCATCGCCACCGGTCGGCGAAGCCGAGAATGTTCTTCAAATCATTACGACCGATGATTTTATACTCCTCGAGAATCCCAAAAAGGTTTTCGGTAAATTCCTTGTAGTCCACCACCTGCGAAGCTTGCGGTTGTCCGTTCGATTGCTGTCCTGCAGCAGCTGCGTCGAGTGGAGACACATCGGTGGTCACGAACTTCCGCAAAGTACATAGACTCGTCCGAACGGATTTGAACTGAACCGCACGCTTATCAATGTAGCCTTTTTGATGGAGTAATTCCGTCCGCTTCGGAACCGACCGCTTGTCTTGGCCACTGAGTTTGACGAGGTCCGTCTGAAAGATACCTTTCTCCCTGCGCGCTGCGATGATGGACAAGAGAGCAAACTCGGTCGAAAAGACCCTGGTGTCGTCTCGCTCATGACCGGTGATCGCAAGCCAAGTTCTTTCTTCCGAAACAAAGACTCGAACCGCATCTCGAGATGATGACGGGGATGCTTCTTCGGTCTCCTGGTTGATTTGCCCACGACCCTCCGCCTCGTCCAGAGTCAGGTGATTCCCCTCTCTATCGTTGCCAACCGAGACTTCTGGGTTTCTCGTCAGCCATGACCACACCTTCTCCTGGAACCGTCGATCGACGCTATGATGGCGCTCGGATGCATCTTGCGCCGCCTTCTCATAAAATGTGTTAACAGACTTCAAGATGTCTGCCGGAGTCGCGCCTGTGGAATGTCAGTTGTGTGAACAATCGTTGTCACGTGGGACCATGGTTGAGAGAAGTTCAGAAAATCGAATGTGATATAGAATGCCTTGCGCGGGCGGATCGAGTAGACTTCGGCACCATCTGATAGCGCTAAATTGGGATGCAGGATGCAGGGATGCAAAAACTGACCTTGATCACCGCAGAGCGCAATCTCCGCCAGTAGGAAATCAATCAAATCTCGTAAGCTAGGGGCCATTTTGCCTCCATGGCTGGGCCAGAGCTGATAAGCAATACAGTGCGAAAATTTTCCCACTGGGGAAAGACTTCAATCCATTGCCTGGACAACGGGTGGGATGAGCTAAATGGTTCGAGAATAATTTGATATCTGGAGGGGTAACAACTAGCAACGGGCGAGATTCGAACCTGCGCCGTGAAGATTCTCGTGGGGTGGCGGCGCCTGCACGTGAGGGGGCTCGCTCACGTAATCATGGCAGTTTCCGGAACGGTGATAAGCCCGATAAGTCCCGATAAGATAAGTCCCCGGAATGTATAGACTCATGGTGTCTAAGGCAAAGAATCAGGTGGAAGATTCATGTCTTCGTGAGTAACGGCACCCTTGGCTGCATAGACCAGCATTCCATGCTATCGGAAGATTTTATTCTCACTACCCATCACCAAAAGTCTCAAGTACTGTTGAAACGAAATAAAGTCAACGAAGTATAAATCCGCAAGTCACTCCTCATTATATACATGAGATGAACTGTATAAGTTTTGAACTGGCTGCCCCGACACTTTACTATGAATTTATGGCCATTAAATGGTCTTTTTGATATATACTATGCCGGATAATATAATATAAACTGTAGGTAGGTGAGACCCTTTCCAATAACGTCACCCTAGATCTTTACTAGCAGGCATAACATTGGCACACAGAGTCACACCATTAACACATGCCTGGTGTTCCTCTTATTTCATCTGCATGATATACGTGGCAACTTATCGTATGTCCAGAGTCGCTCGTATTCGTCAATTGGCAACTGTCCTAGCGATAATGCGCAGGTATATCCATATACACCAGTCAGCTGCTAATTGGATCGATGCTTCGGCCGATGGGTGGGTGATTACTGATTACTGATTTAACTACTGATGACACTTCTGTCAACCAAGATGGATATCGTCAGCATCGACGCATCCATAATGGTTGCTGTGTCCTCGGACTTCTCCTGGCCTATGCTCAAGCGGACTAAAACGGGTCTTTTTTACAGCCCCAACAGATCTTACTCTTTTCGGCATTCGAGTATCTTTAGGAGACACTGTTTCGTCATTCTCCGCTCGATGGCTTCCACCGGAGGTTAGCTTCATAGTACTTCTTCGATAGTGTGTGAGGGACCAAGTTCAAATATTCCGGTATCAATTTGGCGTATAATGGTGAGCTAAGAAGTGCATCATATATTTTCTTGGCTTAGAGATCATCGCCAATATAACTTTCGATAAATCGTAGATACTCGCAGATTCGAGGTGGTTGCTCGGGTGGCGGGGATCGAGGAACACAGGGACTGCGGGAAGCCATGTAAATTATAGTGAGGTTCACGAGTTTGACCGTTGATATTCAATTGAAAATTGAAAATTGAATACGGAGTACACCGTGGGGACTGATATTCATGATATGGATGGAGAACCGGATTAGCATCAACCAGGGAATCAAGGCTACGCCGCGATGACATCACCGCGGTTACGTCAGGCACCCAGGCCCGTGATCGCCCAAGAGGGAAACGACAAACTCAAAGAACCGTCGTTTCCGGCTGGCAGTTTTTGCCCTTTTCTGCAGCTCTCATGTTGAAAGGTCTGGACTCTGCCGCCTTCAAACCACGCCATGGGCCTGTCCATATGATCTCCCTCTCCTAGCATATCACATCCTGTCCCATCCCGTTCCGTCCCCTTTCCTCACCATTCCCTCGAACTTCATGGCCGAGCAGATGGAGGAAGGAAGGGCCAACCCCGTGCCCTCGGAGCCTCCTCCCCTGCCCTACTCGCTTCGAACTCGAAAGAAGTCGATCGCCATCTTTTGGTCATTGTTTGTCCTCGATCTCGCGGCTCAACCGGTCGCATTATTTTGGGGATTATGGTACGGAACCGACCTGTCGCATAACATGGGTATGTTTGCCGATCTCGTGGAGGCTTCAGGAGTGAGCCATACTAAGCCTGGTTCTCATCACAGTATTTACCATTGTCACCATCACGCTGGGAGGAATATCGGTATTCGAATACTTTTTCCGACTCTACAACTTGTTCCGCAAAGATTCCAAAACCCGACCGCTGAATGCAAAGAAATCATGGGTAACTAGGCCACACAACCAGTCTTATGTCAGACTGGGATGGATATGAGGCTAACATACCGCCAAAGCTCGATTTCTTCCATATCAATTTCACCATTGTTTGGTTAATCCTAGCCGTGGAACTAATTACGTGAGTCTCGCCACCGCACCATCCCACCCTTCCTTACTAACGCCCATCTAGAGGAACAGTGGTTGAGGAACCATACGGTAAGAACTTCGGCAAACCGATCTATGCTATCTGCTCTAATAATCTGAATCCTTACAGTCCGACTCGTCGCTATGGTTCTCCCCTCCGTCATGTTCTACTTCGGTGCCGTCTACCTCGCCCTTGATATCCTGCGCGTTTGCGGTTTCAAAGCCCCATTCCGGATTTCCTCGACGCCCAAGGGCTCCGTCATGCCTACAGCATTATACGTTCTCATCGAAGATGTCGTCGCTGTCGACGGGGGTGGAGGTCAGATCTATCGCTATGCCCTTCGAACTCGGTATCTATCTAGTCCTTACTTTCGACGTATGCTCTTCCAGATGAACTGTTTCTGGGCCGGAGGGTCCATTATCTTTGCCGCCGCCTTCACCGCCATTATCTTCACCGTGCCTCAAAACGTCGCTTTTACTGTAAGTATCGAAAGTTATCCTTTTGTGAAGGGGTTAGCAACGGGCCGCCACAGCATGCTAACTACTTATGAATCTTCCACAGTTGGGGTGGACGTTGCCTTTGGTCTGGGCCGGTGTTTGGACGTTAATCACTATCCCATGGGTTCAGAGCGATCTCCGTCGCGAAAAGCAGGCGTGGCAGGATCACAGAGGTCAGGGAGGCGTTCCATCATATGTGGATGAGGTCGGGGAACCGTCTGCTCGGACTCGACTGGAGTCGGTTCATGAACGCCTGCCGAGGTTCTTGTCTTGGGGTCGATACCCAGAGAAGACATCAGCACCCCCTACGCCGTCTGATGGTCAATCCAATGCTTGATCCACGCGGCTCGAACTCATGATATTTTCGGACATGGTATTCTGTCGGACTCTGACGTTCTTGGCAATAACCACAAGATCTTGCCTACGGCTCTTCTTTCATGAGTCGCCTTCCAGATGAAGACAACAATGTTCTTCGGCCAATCTCCTTTGATCATATAGGCTGCATGCCAGATTGGTCCCAGAAACTAATGATGATATGGTCCATATATGATGTATTCTATGTTGTATCTAGATACCCTGGTGTTGGATTTTCTTTTCTGTTAGATTGTATAATATAAAATCAGAATACGGATTTTTGAATAAGTCGTCTTGGAAGTTGCACAGTTTGATCATTTTGAGATAACTCAGCGCTGCGGCAGCATTTCGACCCATCTCACATTTGCAGTCTATTTGTTTAGCCGCAAGACTTGAGGTTGAGCGGATGAAGCCAAAGCGCGGCGCGTCTGGCTTCTCGCATTGCTGGTGCACCAGAACATCTGCGACACCGGAATGACTTGACATATGAGTCGCCCACAAGGGACGATACATGACGATTTCTCGTTCAAATGACTAGTCCTTCAACGTACACCTTCACTTCCCATTTTTCCCATGCGGATAGAGAGACCTCGGTTCCTTGCACAAGAGGGAGAGTGCCCGTCTTGAAGCGTCTCGGAGGTTGCAAAGACGCTCAGGTTTTAGGTCGCAACGCGTAGAACCGAACCGGCAACAGCTTGAAATTCTTCGGGAATCCCAGCTGTAGCTCCGACGTGATCAGATTCATTCCGGCCTCGGCGAAGATTTTCCTGAATTTCTCGTCCGTCCGCGTCACGCTGCTATCCTCATCGTCGTACATATCCTCGCCTTGCGGATCCGTCGACATATTCTCCTTGACCACGATGAGACCCGTCTCGGTGAGGGCCGCACAGCATCGCACGAAGTACTCGCGCAGCTGCTCATCCGTCAAATGACCGACGCAGAACTGCGTCCAGATCAGGTCGTATTTCTTGTCCGGGTTCCAGCTCTCAATGCCCATGGTATAGATGTCCCCGACCACCCCGTCCCTCTTCAGCGATCCGTCCTGCATGACCTGCGTGAACTTCGCGACGGGCTCCACCGCATCCACCATCTCACAGACATGGCTGAGGAATCCCTCCGTCACGCGTCCGACGCCGGCGCCGCAGTCCACGGCCCGCGCGAGCTTTCCGTCTGTCGGACACGACGGTATCATTCGTCGCACTTTGCTCAGGAATGTCTTGGAGCCTCGGAGATCGATGCGCGAGTACCAGGGGTAATTGCCGAGCATGGCCAGCATGGCGTTGGACGTGGCCGGCACGCTATTCCAGTATCTGATCGAGGCCGCATGGTCGATGTTGGCGTCGGCGGGGACATTATTCGCGACAGACGCGTCCGTGGCAGGACCGGAGGACATTATCGACAGGGCGGAGTGCGAGGTCGTCTCGTGCAGTCTTTCTCGTCGACTTCCTGTGTTCCCCTCATCTTTTTTTTTTTTTTTTTTTTTTTTTTTGCTCGAGAGAACAAACGGGTTACATAAGCCAGACAAAACACCGAGTATGATTGGACAAAGAGGCTGGCAAAAAACATCCAGAACGAACTTCTTCTTGCAATCTTCCCTGCAAACTTCTTGTTTTCCTCGAGCAGCACAAAATGGACGGCTCACCGGGTGAGGAACACCTTGCTTTCACGCAATGGGCTGCGTCCAACGGCGTCAAGATCAACGGCATCGCGCCAGCTCGGTTTCCCGGCCGCCGATTAGGCATGGTGGCTACCAGAACAATAAAAGTGAGTTAGCATGCTTCTAGTTCCTTGTCTCTAGTCTCTAGTCCCTAGGTAGCTCCTGGTGTATACTACGGACTAGCAGCGCCTACCTTATCTTCATCACTCAATATGGCCCATGGTTGACTTGATATCTACACGCCCCAGGAGGACGAAGTCATTCTTTCCGTGCCCC